AATATTCATATTTGACCTGATTGTTTATAGTTCATAATGCGTGATCAAAACCGAAAGTTTCTGTGATGACTGCCCTTGTACTGTTCACCATGTAAGAACTTATTCACTATGTAAGAATTCGTTCACCATGTAAGAACTTGTTCGTTATGCTTCAGAAGATTGGAGACTGACGAGAATTAGGCTTGAGATGGATTAATGATTGTGCATTGAGCACTGACACCCCCATACAGAATTTTATTGTTGTTAACAACCATTTGATCAATAAATATGAGAGATGCCCTCTCAAAAAGAAAAAAAAAAAAACAGAGCAGAACAAATAGTGTTTTGGTTGGAAAGAAGTATTAAAAATCTGCCAACACCAAGAGCTATGAATACAAACACCTTCTCAAAGTGCTGTAGGACAACTTCAGTAGTAAAGAGAAACACCACAAAGTTTTATATTTACATTTACATTTACCTATCACAGAACCCAACAATCCCACTGAAGGGACAAAAACACAACTGAATCTCCTCACCAGGCATGAAGCCACCTTCAGCCCCACTCTTAATGAGCAGGGTGTGGAGAAGCTTCATGGTAGTAAGTTTCTGTGATACTTTGTTTTCCTCTCAAAAAACTGGAGACCTGCCTTTATAAAGTAATCCCCCTGTGTAGCAACTAATGATCAAGATGAAATGACTAAGAAAAAGTTTCAGGACATCAGTAGGTCAATGTACTGAAGAGAAGAGGGACAATAGGGAAGGGGTCTTGGGTCTTCACACCCAGCTCACAGCAAGCATGCACGGGGATCAGGCATATCACTGAGGAAGACCTGGGGCTCCAAAGTATGGTCACTGGCGATCTGTTTACTGTGTTTATTCTTTTCCTTGACCACTTGCTTCATAATATTCAAAGATTTTGTCTGATTTTTTTCAATCATAAAGAATACAATGCTACCTTTCATTCTGCTCCACATCCCCACCAAAAAAGTAACACAATACATACGAAAAAGTTTTCCACTTGGAAGTCATAAGTATACGGCTTTAAGGAGATAGACAGCTGCTTGGCAGAAGCTGGGGAGAAGCCCACGGAGAACTGGCCACGCAGCGGAGGCGGGGGCACTCCCGCCCACTTCAGCTCCCAGACGAAGAACACCGACTGCTTGCTGCGGAGAGGCTGCAACGAAGAGTTGGCTGTCACTGCACTCACAGGAGACAGGGCCAACAGGCCACCCACAGTGCACTTGGCACAATGGGAACGCATGCCCAAGGCGAGAGGTGGGCTGCCAGAGCCTGCTCCCACGCCCGCCCTCCCACCCCCGCTCATCCTGCCCAGCCCTCCCCCAAAGAAGACTGCAAGAAGTTGGCAAAAAGGTTCTGAGGTTTTATGATTCCATGGGCTCATGGCATAGGGGTTCATAAAAAATGCTCAAAGAACATTTATTGGTATACTGTATACCATACATTTCCAAAATGGGAAATGCCATCAACCACTTAAAAAGGACATCTTTACATCCATGCCAGTTACTGTGCATTTAATATAAGTTACATGAGGAACTAGCACCACCTCAGACAAAGTCCACAGCTATAAGCACAGGGACAGACTTGGGTAGCATTTGAAATGGGGCAAACGTTAGCTGGGAAAATTCTCTGAAAATGCTAAAGATTAGCCATCATTAAGAAAAACTTTGATCTTCTAAGCACTCAACATTTACTGTCTAAACACATGACAAATGAAGATAAGAGGTAAGGTCACAACAACCAGATGGCATGAGCATGAATGTGGCTCCTTCACAAGCTGCACCAGCCCCTAAGGTCTCTGCCCTGGGCACAGGCAGGACGGGACACATGGCACCATCTCCTGGGGTCACGTGCCCATGCCGAATACAGAGGCTCAAGAATGAGCTGCGCATAGAGCTGGGCGATTTAAGATTTACACCCGTCAGTCTCTCTCATAACCCACCCACCATACCACCTGGCCCACAGGGAAACGCAGACATGCACACTACTGCAGCCAAGCTGAGGACTCAGGCTATCACAAATCACCACCAGTAAGACTGTCCCTGTACTGGAAGGCCCAGTCAGTGTCATTTTCATCAAAACGCTATGCATACTCCATCATCCTTATCTTACCCTGCATTCTGTTGAGTTTATGCTCAACTCTAGAAAACAGGTACCTGCTGGGATCTTGTGTTCAGCGGAATCAGTTGCAAGTCGGTACTATCACCAATATCTGCAAGATTACTATCTGACAGCTGAAAGTCAAGTTCTGACAAATTCTGGACGGAAACTTGAACATACTTCCTAAAGCAGAAAAATAAAAAATATGATCTTGACACTTAAGAACTTTATTAAGTATATTTTAGCTTTGTTAAAAAGACCTTTCTTAGGGAATCAAAAAAGTGACACAGTAAATTAATAGCTAGTTAGTACACATATTTCTACTTCTGATTTCACATGTACAAGTGTCACAAAAAACCCTAATCTTTCTAGGAAAGCTATTTCTAGGGAAAAATGGATCAAAGGACGTTGTTTCTGATCCAGCATTATTACATGATCATAACTGATTTTCCTAAACACAGAACAGGTTTTAGTAAGTCATATAGGAAAGAAACAAGTAGGGGTTCACTTCAATTCTGTGGCAGTGAAGAGGAGCTTTAAAAGGCCAGTCTTACCATTAGTATCTATCTAGTTTCCTCACTGTAATTTGAAGGAAGGAAAATAGTGCTAGTACAATGTCCCACTCTAAGTATGGCTCTGACCTTTTTGTTTCCAATTACACAAACATCACTGATGAAAGCAAAGGGAATGTACAGCGAGAGGCCAGGCCCCCGAGCCCTGGGGTCATCGTCAGCATCATCACCTGGGGGGGCACAAACAGGCCCCGTGTGTGTGGACCCAGGGACACAGCAGCACAGGACACCACCAAGCTTTCTTGTGCAAAGGCTGAATCTGAATCTAGTCCAGCCTCTGTAGCAATGAGTGGCTGGCTCTCAGCTGGGCCGTGTCTGCAGGCGGTTTTGGCTGTCACACCAGGGGTGTGGAGGATGGGGAGTGCCCCTGTATCCAGGGGCCCCAGAGCCCACAACAAAGGGCCCCCTGACCCAAAGTGCCAGGGCTGCTGGGAAGCCTCGCTGCACAGGTGACTGAGCTTCGACAGGTAAGCAAACCCAGAGGACAAGCCAGTCAGACCCACAGGGGGGGCCTGCTAGAGGACAGCTAACCCAAGGTTGTCAAGGGGTCAGTGGCTTGAAAAATTGTAGCCAAATGCAGACTTGGTTTAGATCCCACAGTCCACAAGCCAACTGTGCAAAGTCCTTTTGGAGGCAGCTAGGGTGACGTGAATTTAGACTGGATGCTATAGGACCCCAGGGGTTCCTGTGAGTTTCAGCAGGTGGACAGTGGCATCATGGTTACCCAGGACAACACACCAAGTGTCACCAAGGCCAAGCTCAGAATGATAAGGGTCTCCCTGTAGGAGAGCCTAGGCCAGGAGCAAGGCCTGGAATCCACGCCCCCTTTACCGTGTGCCAGCTGACAGCAGAGTGTGTGTGGTCCTGAAGGGCACACTGAATGTCAGTGCGATGACGGTGGAGTAGATGGACCATGGGCAGTCGATGGACACCTGAGGAGAAACAGACGTGCACTCAGACCACTGGCCTGCCTACACAGCTGCCACCAGCACCAGACACCCAAGTCCACAGTGCTGCCAACTGCCAGACACTGGATGGCTTTTCCATTCCTTATGCAGACAGGAAAAGCCTGATAAACACATGCACAGGGAGAGATATGAAGCTATGTACACAGGCAAGAAAAACAGGACACGAAACTGGCAGAACTCCCAGGAGTCACCAGGTCTTAAAGGCTCTAAGCAGGTGCTGCAGTGCACAGTGTGAACTCACCTGGCTATGCTCACAACCTGTGGCCACGATGCCAGGGGTAGGTCATGTGCAGGAAGCTATGACAAAATGCTTTAATCGCTATGTCCAAATGACATAATCCACATAATCAATCATGAACTGTCAAAACATTAAACAAATTATCCAAACACTTAATCCATTATGAAGCTGAATACATAACTGAAAACCAATCAGGTTTTGGATGCAGCACAGACCAAGCTATTAACTCCCTTAAGGGCAGAAACCAGGTCTCAAGCTTCATTTTTATTTTCCTCAAGGAACAAATGAATATACTGAGTAAAGAATACTTGTTCATTCAGCACTATGTACTCTTGCTGAAATAATTATCATCTTTCCCTCCTGAACTCTGTTATCACATAAGAAGGGAAGAAACTTCAAGGCACGAAAATCAAAACACTAACCCTGAGGAGACTGCTGATTAGAAAATGCTGACTTGTCTGTCCTATGCAATCATCATCTTGCAGCAACTGTGTTTCTTAGCCTTTGAGCCAACTGCTTTTGTGCATATGTGTCTTTTAAAAAATTATTCAGTTTATTTAAATTGAAAAAAAAAAAGGTCCAGCAATTTCTGGCCATAAATCTGTTTTCTGTACCTATGAGCTTTGTTTCTGTTTCTGTTTTAAGATTCCACACATAAAATAAATCATACAGTATTTGTCTTTCTCCATCTGACCTATTAGACATAGGTCCATTCACATTGTCACAAATGTTAAGATTCCCTTCCTTTTCTGTGGCTCAGTAGTATTCCATGCATTCATGTGCTACATCATCTTTACCCGTCCGTCTCTCTGCGAACATGTAGTTTGCTGCCGTATCTTGGCTACTGTAAATGATGCTGTGGTGAATGTGTGTGTGTGTGCGCATGTGCATGCGTGCATGTGTATGTGTGTGTGTTTTCAAGTTGAGTGTTTTCATTTTCTTTGGATAAATACCCAGAATTAGAACTGATGGATCATAAGGTAATTCTATTTTTCATTTTTTGAGGAGCATCCATAGTTTTCCATTGTGGCTACACCAATTTTTATTCCCACCAACAGTGTACAAGGGTTCCCTTTTCTCTACATTCTCAAAAACACTCATTATTTCTTGTCTTTTAATAGCCATTCTGACAGGTGTGAGGTGCTATCTCATTGGGGCTGTGATTTGCATTTCCCTGACAATTAGCAAGTGGAGCATCTTTTCATGCACCTGTTGTCCACCTGTATGTCTTCTTTAGAAAAATTTCTATTCAGATCTTCTGCCCATTTTTTAATCAGATTGTTGGCTATTAAGCTGTACAAGTTCTTTATATACTTAGTACTAACCCCTTATCGGATCATGTGCTTTGTGAATATTTTGTTGGTGGTTCCCTTCGCTGAGCAGAAGCATTTTGGTTTGATGTCGTCCTGCTACTTTATTTTCACCTTTCTTGCTTTTGCTTCTGGTGTCAGATTAGTAAAATCATTGCCAAGGCTGGTATCAGGAGCTTACCACCTATCTTTCCTTCTAAGAGTTTTATTGCTTCAGGTCTTACATTCAAGTTTTTAATCCAATTTGAACTATGTGTTAGATAGTGGTGTAGATTCATTCTTTTGCATGTAGTCATTCAGTTTTTCCAACACCATTTATTGGAGAGACCAACCTTTCTCCATTATATATTCTTGGCTCCACTGTTGTAAATTAATTGGCCATATGCACATGGGGTGATTTCTGAGCTCTCTATCTGTTCCACTGACCTATATGTCTGTACTTATGCTAATCCAATACTGCTTTAAAAAATTACTATAGCTTTGCAATATAGTTTGAAATTAGGGGGCATGATACCTCCAGCTTTGTTCTTCTTTCTCAAGATTGCTTTGGCTACCTGGGGTCTTTTTGGGTTCCACACAAATTTTAGGACTGTTTGTTCTATTTCTGTGAAAAATGCCATTGGAATTTTGACAGTGGTTGTGTGGAATTGGTACATTGTTTTGGGTAGTTTGGAGAGCATAACAATATTAATTCTTCCAATCCAGGAGCACAGAACATTTTTCCATTTATTTGTGCCTTCTTTAATTTCTTCAATCAATGTTCTAGTTTTCAATAAACAGGCCTTTCACCTCCTTGGTTAAATTTATTCCCAGGTATTTTATTGTTTGATGCAGTTGTAAATGGGATTGTTTTATTTCTCTGATAGTTCTTTATGAGTACAGAAATATAACAGATTTTTGTGTATTGCTTTTGTATCCTACAACTTTACGCAATTTGTTTATTAGTTCTAACAGTTTTCTCAAGGAATCTTTAGGGTTTTCTATGTAGAGTATCATATCATCTACAAATAGTGACAGTTTTACTTGTTCCTTTCCAGTCTGTATGTCTTTCTCCCCCCTTGCCTAACTGCTGTGGCCTGAACTTCCAACACTATGTTGAATGAAACTGGTGAGAGTGGGCATCCTTGTCTGGTTCCTTGTCTTACAAGAAAAGCTTTAAGCTTTTCACCACTGAGTATGTTAGCTGTGGTTTATCACACATGGCCTTTATTACGTTGACCTCAATACCTGTATACCCTGCTTTGTTCCCTGTATATCTTCTTTGTTAAGAGTTTTTATCATAAATGGTTGTTGAATTTGGCCAAATGCTCTTTCTGCATCTACTGAGATGATCATATGATTTTTATCCTTCATTTTATTACTGTCTGATCTTGTTACTGGTTCATTTTGCCACAATTACTGATAGGCAGATGTTGAACTATCCTTGCATACCTGGAATAAATCCCACTTGATCATGGTTTATGACCCTTTCAATATCCTGTTGAATTTGCTTTGCTAGTATTTTGCTGAGGATTTGTGCACCCATGTTCATTAGGGATATTGGCCTGCAATTTCCTTCTCTTGCAGTGTCCTTGTATGGTTTTGGTATCAGAGTAATGCTGGCCTCATTAGTCTGGAAGAGATCCAACCTCTCCTTTTTTAGAAGAGTTTGAGAAGGATTGTATTAATTCTTCTTTGAATGTTTGGTAGAATTCACCAGTGAAGCCATCTGACTTTCATTTGTTCGGAGATTTTTCATTACTGTCAATCTTACTAGTAAATGGCCTGTTCAGATTTTCTATTTCATCATGATTCAATCTTAATCGGTTCTGTTTCTAAGAATTTATCCATTTCTTCTAGGTTGTCCAATTTACTGGCATATAATCATTCATAGTAGTCTCATGATTGTTTCTATTTATGTAACATCAGTTACATAACACCTCTTTCATTTCTGATTTTATTTGCTTGAGTCTTCTCTTTTTTTCTTGGTAAGTCTAGCTAAAAGTGCCAATTCTACCTTTCCAAAGAATGAGCTCTAAATCAGTTCAGTTTTGATTGCTCTTTTCTATTATCTTTTTGGTCTGTTTCATTTATTCTCTAAGCTTTGTTATTTCCTTCCTTCTACTAACTCTGGGCTTCAATTATTTTTTTCCTAGTTCCCTGTGATAAAAAGTTAAGCTGTTTGACACTTTTCTTATTTCCTGAGGTGTAAGTATGTACCACTGTGAGCTTCCTTCTTAGACATGCTTTTGCTGCCTCCCACAAACTCCGGTATGGTACAATTCCATTTCTGTTGTTTCAAGGATTTCCCCCTCTTTGATGCATTAGTTGTTCAGTACCATGTTGTTTAATCTCCACACACGTGAATTTTCCAGTTTTTTTTTCCATGAAATTACTTTTTAGTTTCCTACCATTGTGGTTGAAAAAGATACTTGATATGACTTCAATCCTCTCAAATTTGTTAAGACTTGTTTTGTGGCTGAACATACAATCTATCTTGGAAAATGTTTCATGTGCACTTGAGAAAAATGTGTACTCTGTTGCTTTTGGATAGAATGTTCTAAAAATATCCATTAAGTCTGTCTGGCTTAACATATTGTTTATAGACAATGTTTCCTTACTGATTTTCTGTTTGAATTATCTATTCATGGATGTGAGTGGGGTACTGAAGCCTATTATTGTATTAGTGTCTATTTCTTCCTTTATGTCTTTTAATATTTACTTTATATATTTAGGTGCTCCTATGTTGGGTGCTTAAATATTTACAAATGTATCTTATTGTTAGATTGATCCCTTCATCATTACGTAATACCCTTCTTTGTGTTTTGTTACAGTCTTTGCTTTCAAGTCTATTTCGTCTGATAAAACTACCCAGCTTCCCTTCGGTTTCCGTTTACATGGAGTGTGTTTTTCCATCCCTTCACTTTCAGACTGCGTGTGTCCTTACATCTAAAGTGAGGCTCTTGCAGGCAGCATATAGAAGGGTCTTGTTTTTTTAATCCATTCAGTCACTCTGTTTCTCTTGATTGGAGAATTTAACCCATTTACATTCAGAGAAATTACTGATAGGTACGTGCTTATTGACATTCTGTTAATCGTTTTCTGGCTGTTTTTGTAGTTCTTCTCTGTTCCTTTCCTCTTCTCTTGCTCTGTTCCCTTGTGGTCTGATGACTTCCTTCAGTGGTATGCTTTATTCCTTCTCTTTATCTCTTGGGTATTTACTATAGGTTTTTGCTTTGAGGTTTACATATAACTCGTGTCCCTGTCAGTCTCTTAAAGTCGAGGACAAGTCAGGTCTGATCCCATCTAAAGCTCAGCATCACTCTCCCAGCCTGCGTTGTGTGGTTTTCATGCCATGTTACTCTTTTCACTTTGCATGTACCTTAGTTACTGTAACCATAGCTATTTCTACTACTCTTATCTCTTAACCTTCACACTAGCTTTATGAGCAGCTGATCAGCCGCCTATGCTATATATTTACCCTCCCGGTAAGATTTATACTATCTTGGGTGTTCTTGTTACTAATTAGGTCCCTTTCTTTTCGGGTTAAGCAAGTCCCTTCAACATTTCTTGTGAGGTCAGTTTAATGGGGATGAACTTCCGTTCTTCTGGAAAACTCCCTCCCTTCCTCAGTTCTGAATGATAACCTCGCTGGGCGGTGTTGGTTGGCACTTTGAATACATGTGCTGCTCCCTTCTGGCTGCACAGCTTCTGCTGAAGGATCTGCTTTTAAGACTCTCTCCTTATCTTTAACTTGACATTTTAATGTTACTGTGTCTTGGTGTGGGTCTCTGTGGGTTCACCTCATGTGGAACTCTTGGGCTTCCTGGACGTAGGTGTCTGTTTTCTTCCCCAGGTTAGGGAAGTTTGCAGCCATTATTTCTTCAGATAATATTTCTGCTCCATATCTCTCTCTCGTTCTGGGGCCCTACAATGTGAATGTCAGTGTGTTTGATGTTGTCCGACAAGCCCCTTCAGCCACCTTCACTTTTCTCGTTTTCTCGTGGCTACTGTGACTGGGTGAGTTCCCCGGCTTTGCCTTGGAGATCGCTGACGCCTTCTGCTGCTCCCTCTAGTCTCCTGTTGAACCTTTCCAGCTCTGCGACTTCTGTTTGATACTTTCTTATATTTTCCATCTTTGTTCAAGTTCTCACTGTATTCATCCATTCTTCTCCCCTGTCCACTGAGTGTCTTTATGACCATTACTTGGACTCTGTCAGGTAAATTACTTACCTCTGCTTCATTAAGGTTTTTTCCTGAAGTTTTATCTTGTCCTTTAACTTGGAACATAGTCTTCTGTTTCTTCATTTTGCTTGACTGATGGTTTCTAAGCAGTACATGCCACAGCTGCCTCTCCCAGTCTTGAAGGAGTGGCTTTGTGCTGGAGATGAACCTTGCCATGCAGCCCTGCCCCAGCTGTTGGGTGTCTCTCCGGCCTCTATGCCTGTCCCAGCAGCCTGTTACATTGCTGACTGGAACCTAGATTGTTAAGCAGCAGCTTTAAAAGTCTGCAAATATATACAGTCCTACGGGGCCATAAGCATATACTTCTACACTTAGCTGTTCCAAAGCCCTCAGAACCAACATCTGTGTTACAAGATATGTACACGCCCAGAATAAACACAACACTAACCGCCATCTGTGAGCTGATGCCCTGCAGATCTGGGACCAAAGTCATGTACCTCAGGATACACAAAGACCAGAACCAGAGCATAAAACGACAGAGCCTCTTCCTTTTTAAGTCTGATGTGACACTGAGTGGACAGAAACTGAAGCACTCCGAAACACAACTCCCTTTAGCCTAATCGCTAGGACAAAAACTGGGCCTATTTATCTCCATCCTTGCAAGGAGGACCCCTTATCTAAGAAGGGGTGATTCACAGATATAAATGGTAAACCTGATGAGAGCTTGCGTATCAGGAGTTGGAAAATTGCCACTTCAAATGAAGTCCTCTCCTGTGTCCTGTCTGCGTGCACAAGCAGGACAGGCATAGCTACCGCCACAAGCTGTGCAGTCCCAGCCCCTCCTTACTTTGTGGTCCGTGGTAGCCATGCAGTGGCCAGTTTCCTGTGTGTTCTTATGCTTCCTGTGGGGCTCTGTCATCCCCAGCACACTGCTCTCCCCTCTAGTTACTGGAGCTGAAGGTAAAGAGAGAACTTCCAGCTCAAACTCAATCAGGTGGTATGCAGGTGCGGCAGGCAGACCGATGCTCGTGACCTTGTCAGATGACTGGACCCAGAGCGACGCATCAGAAGCCTTTTCTAGGAAAGACAGAAAAAGTCACTTCCAATAGATTGTTTCCTCGTTCCTTTCTCTTCTGGAAGGTGATGGGCCCAGCAGTGAAGTTACAACTCAATTCCAGCTGTTCCTATGTACATGACAGAGTATGTCTTGGAAGAATTAAGGTGGGAGGGAAGCAGCAGGAAAATCAGAAACAAAAGCCCCTATGACAGAGCAACACTGCCTGACTGGGTGCTGGCTGCAGCCCAGAGAACTGTCTCTGAGCTCAGTCTGAGGGCAGAGAGAGACACTCCTATGTGGCACACCTAAGCACTGTCCACTTCCCCGCACTGTGTGCCCCACTCCACCCCACCAGCGGACGAGTTAATCCAGAGAGGGTCCCTCTCCACCCTCACACAGAGGGCCAGGGGAATGGAGGTTTAGGGCTTCTCACCAGAGCCTAAGAAGGCTAGTTTGCTTTTGCTCTTTGGGGAGAGGACTGGAGCGGGTAGAGGCGGGGAGAGAATCATTGTGGGGCCCGGGCCCAGGGCTTCATGCTGCAACCCAAGTCCTCAGCAAGGTCAGCACCGCGTGGCCACACAGCACATACATGGCTCTCTGGTGATCCCTGCCAGTGTCGCACCCGGTCCCAGGGCAGGGTCACAGCCCAGCTACAGGTGGAATGGGACTGTGAAAGTCACAGGGAAAAGCAGAAGACCGGCTGAGGGATGGCAAGGATGACAGGCCCTTATCCTTGATGTGTGACAATGCCGTGCTCACCTTCGCTAGCTGACTGCCATCTTACCTCTTGCGTTAGAATAGATCACGGCTCTGTTCTCTGTGTGACACAGGATGAGCATGGCCTCCACATTGCTGAGCTGGAGGCTGTCCCCGTTTTTTACTGTATAATGGCCAGTAGTGACAGTGAACTTGACCTTCTGAGGAATACCAGCCAAAAGGCTATCTAAAGAAAAAAGATAGCAATTAGCATCACTATCAACCCAAGTACCTATGGTGGACCTACTGTGAGGTTAAAAGGACTCTGCTGCTTCTACTAGAAAAGATTTCCTTACTTTAGATACTCGCTAACTTGCTCAATTTCCATCACTCCACCCCCACTTTCATCTCCATTAAATGGACTGCAGGGTGGCAGGGGAAGGGGGGTGCTTGCTGAGAAAGAGAATCTGGGCCTAAGAGGTCCCCTCACCACCTTGGCTTAGAGACTAGGGATCAGGTGGCAAGCATGTCTACGAGGGTCTCAAAAATTATCTGCCGATAAGACGGTAAGAGAGAACCAAATAATGACGCTCAAGAATAAACTAACAAAGCTGAATTGCTGCTGCTATTCAGTTTTCTCTGGCTTTTCCAGGCTAGACTTTCGGGATCTTGGCCCAGAAAGAGCTTGTTCAGAGCTATAGCTACTGCTTTCTTCTAGACAAAAACAGAGGGGCAGGCATGGGCTGCGATTCCTGGGAATCCCACTCCAGGGAAGGCAGAAGGAAGAAGGCAAGAGACCAGAAACAAGGCGCAGTAGAGGCGAGACGGGTGGGAAGTTGTGTGGCCAGGAAGGGAGTGAGGGACGCCAGGGTGGGGTGGGTGCTGCGTCCCAGGGCCCTTGGCCTTTCTCCCCAAGGCTCTCTGATGGGAGACTGACTGTTGTATTCAGCATGTGAGGGTCTTTCCGGGGGGCCCATAGGAGGAGTCTAAAAGCGTAAAAAAGGGAGTAGGTGGAGATTAAACAGAAAAAACACTACCCTTGATTTTTTCCCCCAAATGGAAGAAACAAGCAAATAAATTATCTCCAGCCTGAATGGAGACAGCCTCACTAGGGTTTTAATTAAGTGCCATGTGGTCTTCAATTATTTACACCAACTCCTAATTTTAGGACTTAATAGTAATAATAATAATAATAAACAGTAGCTTTGAATTTCTCAAATGCCACTTGACCAGGGTGTCAAATTTAGTCAACATTTTCAAAGGAGAAGACTTTTGATCAGAGAAAGAACATTAATAAATCTAGAGTTTAGCCTTTGAAACAGAACTCTAAGCAGGAAATTTCATGTACTCATTAAATTCTCTGCAACAGACATTAGCTGATACTGAGCTGATTTTTCTCTTTCTTACCTTTCTCATTTTCAGATACACCATTTTTACTAAACACGAAAGTTAGTGATTACAGGAAAGCAAATATTCAGGGGAACAAAAGAGTCACAGTCTATCAGTTCCCAGGCAGAATCTCCACTATGCCACCCAAAATATCTCCTACTAAAAGGGGCACAGCCACCAGGAGCGCAAGTCTGACAGTACAGAAAGCCCACCTTGCACCGGAGGCCTTTGTCAAGGGGCAGGTGCCGCACAGAGCGACGATAAGGCAGCCCTCGCCTCCTGCAGCACGCAGCCCACTCACCAGCTAGCGGCTCCACACGCAGCTGTGGCTCCTGGGAGTACACGTCATACTGCACCAGGGGGTAGATGGGGGGCAGCACGAACCACACAGGGCCCACCGAGGCACACAGCTGCCGCAGCGTGTATGTTCCCGGCTCCTTGGCCTAGGGTCAAAATCAAGCATTTGGAAAGCTGTCACCCGTTTGTGTAGCTATGAGCCCGAGAGAAGGTGGTGAGCACCCTCCTGGAAATGACCGTTTTTCCTACCCTCTTCATCCTCTGTTCTGCTTATGACTCCACACGGGGCTGCTCCAAAGGGCCTGCACACTCTCTCAGTACATGATGTTCTAGTAACTGACGTTTAAGTCTGACTTCGTGCTTCTAATAATGTATTTTCAATTTAATAAATCATAGTTGCACCATTCTCTTCTGAAAAGGTTTTTAAAGGAGACCTTCAGCATGAGATTTAAGAGCCACTCTAACTTACAGGATACACTGCACTGGAGGAAGATTCATAACAGAGTGGGTCAGAACAGTTCTGACAACCATGCAGCCAACAAAAGGAAAATGATGTTTAACATGAAAATGCACCACCTTCTTTGAAATCCCCTTCTAACAAATGATGGTATATTTTAGTACAAAAGGGACAAAATTTAATCAAATCCAGTGAGAACACAAGTAGTTGTTTATGTTAACAACTTCTTCCAAAATTTATCAACTGCCTTAAAATTGGTTAAGTATAAAAGATTTTTTTTAATGTCAGTCTATTTTTCTTCAAGGATTAAAACAAAACCAGAGTTAACACAGAGAGGCCTGCCCTGGACTCACCACACTGGGGACCATGCAGGCTCGGCACCCTCCCAACCACCTAGGAAGTCAAGTCCCCACCCACACACACACCTGCGTCCTGAACGTCACAGTGTTGGCCCCCGGCTCCAGCGTCACACTGCTGCACCGGAGCACGTGTGCCCCGTCCTCCAGAGCCACACCTGACGGTGCTTCCAGGGAAGCGCTGCTTTCCTGCCTCCTTAGAAGCATGTGGACATTTTTGCATATGATCCCTGTCGTGTTTAAGGAATTGTCAGAAGGACTCCTTTCAAACATCTCATGCAGCTCCAGCGCTGGCAAGCTGTTCTGGGACGTGGGGAACGGCATGGTCTCCGCCGGGAAGTTAACACCCCCGTGGGACGTCTTGTGCTTGGTAAGCCATTCTGCGGTCTTCCGGTAGTTGTTCTTCTCGACGCTGAAGTGGATGCTGACAGCGATCTGCTCCACGGGGACAGGGACGGGCATCTGACTGCACACAGTTATCTCCACAGACAGAGCACCCCCCACATGGACCACGGCGTTGGAAGGAGTAAAATGGAGATCTCTCAGGTGTGCAAAAGAGTGCATAGGAAGCACGATTTTGTGACCTATAAATACATATTACCACGTCATACTTCCCAAGTCACATTTCTAGGCCCTTGGTTACCTCTGGGCCGCTGGAGGGAGCCAATATGAGGAGAAAGAAACAATGAGGTTCGAAAGAGGTGGTTTAGGACTTCCCCACCTCATGGCTTTCTCATACACCAAGGCAGAGCACAGACACTGTCTATATGACTCCTGAATATCATAAAATCTGAAGAAATTAAAGTATCTAAGTGGTTTTGACAAATCTAAGAGAAATACAGTTGCCTACCTTCTCAATTTCAAAACAAAATTTGTAAAGGGTCCATTTCCTAGAGCTGTTTCAAGGAATGGCACCACTTTCCCACCAACATAAAGAAATTCTTGAGTAAAGATCCCCATGTCCCCCCATATATCTGGAAATAAACCCAAGTGTGTGTCAGCCCTTGAAGTGAGCCAGTGAAGGGGGAGCCCTGCCCCCAAGCCCCCAGGAGGGCGGGGTGGCCCCAGACCCACAGGGCCCAGGTGGGAGGACCCAGCACCCTCTGCGACCTCCTTCCCACAAGCATCTGGCTCGCCTGGAAAATCCAGAAGGCTGCTGGACCGACCGAAGTATTTATTAAACACTGATCAACTAAAGGACTTGCCGAGATTAATGCTGTAAAGTCACAAAGAAACAGCGGACAATCACGGAGTTTTTGTTCACACAGAGCTGCCAAGGGACAGCTGCACAGGAGAAGTGCAACCACAGTCTAATGTGTGTCACATACGGTGGACACACCCCATCTGGGCACATTAAAGGATCTAAAAACACAAACAGATCTAAGCCACGGTGCTCCCGAATCACCTAATCAGACGGCTTGATTTGAGTGAAATATACCCACGCAATCAGTGACAATGTCAAACTGAAGCCAAAAGCTTTGGAAACACTGGCTTTTAAGCACTGGTAACTGCTGCGGGCTGAATGGTGTTCCCCCACAATTTTGAAATTGAAGTGCCAGCCCCCGGTGCCGGTTACTTGGAGGCTGGTCCTCTAGGAGATAATTAGGTTCTGATGAGGTACTGAAGGATTGGTGCCCTTCTATGAGGAGACACCAGAGAGAGAGCTCCGTCTCTGTCCGTCTCCCTCCCTCCTGCGCCCCCTTCACTCTCGACTCTTTCTCTCTCTCTGTCTTCAGCTCTGCATCTGCCTCTGTCTCTCTCGGTGCCATATAAGGGTAAGTCAGGACAAGAGGCCTCATCAGAAACCAGACATGCTGGCATCTCATCCCAGCCTTCCAGCCTTCAGAACTGTCAGAAAATAAATGTTTGTTGTTTAAGCATCCAGATGTTGGCATTTTGCTATGGCAGCCTAAGCTAAAACAGTAACTACTTCAAACAAGTTCCCTTCTAGCTAATTTCAACAGGAGAAGCTTAACTTTACAATAAATTTACTCTTACCACACAGCATAATCTATAAAGTCTATTTGCTAAAACGTTTAGCCTGAATCTAAGCCTTCCAGATCTACCTTCCTGCTGAAAACAACCATAAGGAAACACTAAGTTCCGTAAGGTGGGATGGCCTGTGGGACAACAGGCTCAATGCCTTTAAAAGACCAGTGTCTTACAACCCAAATGTTAAACAACTAATGACTGGATAAAAAGGTCCATCCATCTAATGGAATAGTATTCAGCCCTAAAAAGGAAGGAAATACGGACATGTGTGCAGCATGGATTAATCTGGAAAATATAATGTTTAGTGAAATAAGCCTGTCACAAGAGACCACATATTTATTGTAGGAATCCATTTACATGAACGATCAGGACAGTCTCTACAGAGACAAAGTGAATGAGTGGCTGCCAGGGGCTGGGGCTTGGAGGGTGGGAGGTGGGGGCGTGGGAAGAGGTTGGGAGGGTGTTAAGCGCTGGCTTGCTTTCTGGGGTAATAAAGTACTCTAAAAGACACCGTGATGTGGCTATACTGTGAATACACTAAAAGCCACAGAACTGTACAATGGAAATGGGTGAACTATACGGTTGTGAATTCTAGAGTGTCTTGAAAAAAAGAATAAAGGAGAGATGGGAAGAACTGTTGTGAATTAAAGGGATGGAGATACAATCACTGAATGTAGTATGTGACCCCTGATGGGACTCCACTAAAAATAAATTATGAAATCCTTTTTTTGAGACAATGTGGGCTACAGAGTAACTAAAATTAGAACTTGTTCGTTCTTTGGGTGCTTAGTGCCTCCCTCCCCCACCCACCTGCTTGCGTAACTTTCAGCGGGCAAGTGTTACATGTGGTCTAGAGTGCCCTCAAGTTCAGTAAAAACAAACAAGTGAAAAAGAAAGATGCGGCTACATGTTTGCTACACAGCAAACTGTTACCACCACCTAATCTAGGTGGCTAGTCTACATTATACATTGAATATTCTTTTAACTTTTCTATAGTATTTGAAAGTTTTCATAATACAAAGTTTAAAAAATTTAGTCTTACCTGGGCTGTCTGCCTGTCTCCGGGCAAAATCGAGTATTTCTTGGCAGAAGTGTTTCCGTTCTTCGGCAGTTAAATGTGGATCACTCGCTAAAAGGCTGCTGGTCTGCAGGTAGCTGGAGGGAAGAGTTAAGGGCCTAAAGGGAGGACTTCCCGCCGAGGGGTGGGGTGCCAAGCACGTGGCTTCTACAGTCCCCAGAGCTTTCAGAGTGCTGCCCAACGGGTACTCTTCTAAGTTATTAGGGACTCAAAAGAGATCAAATAACGTTCACTAGGCATATAACTTATATTCAGCACATACATTATGTACAAGGTGGGCTTTTTCTCGCCAGTTAGGAGGTATTCATTAAATACTCAATTGTGGGCACTGCAGCTGTACAAACAAAAAGCAATTTTCCCACTTCAAGAAAATATTAAACTTAAAGGATACTTTTCAACTTGCCCCAGGAGTTTCTGACATTCGGCTAACTGCTTCCTTGTGTGCGTAATGGGTAGTGCCCAGCCCTCAGCCAGGTAGTTTTTCAATGCTCCTTGAAGATAGGTTTCTGCCTTTTGTGGAGACTTTTTCCTCCTTGCAAGTCAACAAACAGAAGCTTTCATTAAAGTTCATGATAATCATGAAACTCAGACACAATCATCATGACTTGCCCTCCATTCCTGTAAGCCCTCACCATGACCTTTGTCTGACCTTTAGGCAGTCCTTCTCTGACCAGCCCCCTGGTATGAGAAGAGCACTAAATCAGGAGTAGATAACTGGACCTGAGAAATGGGGTCATGGTGCTAGTCCCCTCCACACACCTGCCTAGCATCACACACCAACCAAGGAAGCTTTGGAGCAGATCCCAGGATAAGAACTGCCAAGGGCAAAGAGGTGAAGGGTTCACCCACAGCCAGTCAGCAAGGAAGCCACGGGGCCTGGGTGTGACACCACACTGCCCACTGAGGGCAGCTGGACAGAGACGCAGTCCAGACGGCCAACAAAGAAGTGGCCTGCAGCAACTCGGGAACGCAGGCCTGCCGCACTGAGCAGGTTTCAGAGATTCACAGAGGAACTATGGAGAACTTACACACCAACACCTACCATACCACCCAAGGGAGTCCCAGACGCAACTTTCAAGAGGTTCAGAACAAAACAAAGCAAGGTTTAGAGTACCACCAGGCAGAGCTTGCTCAAGCCTCAGTGACAACACGGACCCCTTGGCCTGCCCCAGAGGGCTGGGATGCCCGGTCTCAGGGGACGAGGCCAACACTAGAGCAGTTCTCTTTCTAGACATCCTTGGAAGACATCCTGGTTTTCACTACCCTACTCTTAAAGCAGCAAGAGTTCCCAAATTCTCAAACCTACCTAAGTATGTGAGCTAGTTTTTCTAGGCTTTTATGGTCCCCCACCTCCACTTTTTAAAGGGGTCAGAACCTTCAATATTTCAGCTACTCTCTCTTACATTCTAGAACTGGAAGTTCACAGGCCATTCACCATCCACCCCCAGAGACAGAGGTCAGCAGTTACCAGCTAGTCTGGGGCCAAGCTGGAAGCAGGACCCAAGTCTCTAATGAGCAGGCCAGCACCACCCCACTAGGGCTCCAGCCCCAGAATGGACCAGCATCCAAGCAGGCTCACCTCCCAGCACTGACACACAGCTTCTCTGCTCCATTAACTAACAATTAACTCCTTAGATACACTAGATACCAGGAGAGCCAAATTCTAGCCCTGACTCAGCTGTGAATAGGGGGATAGGCTGGCTTCTTCAAGCACATCTGGAAAACTAGGAAGTTCACTGAGATGATCTAAGCCCTTTGCAGCCACGCTAATTAGTCAAAATACTCCTTCCTGTTTCATCTAACGGAGTTTATTAATTGTAGATTTCAAGATATCATTTCATCATGCATACTTCTTTTGAGAAAACTTAAATACTCTTCCCCTTATCATTTATCTTTGCAGTGCTTTGAAATAGCAATCACAATGCCAGTGAGATTTCTTCTCTTGACAGGCTGATTGTATCAAACACATGAGAAATTTGCCAAGTTTTGAGTCTTTTCTCTGGAACCCAATTCCAAAGCTGGAGCTAAACTGGCAATGCCCACAGGGTCTGCACATACACCCTCTCAGCCCATCACAGGCTGGCCTCTGCCCGTGGGTATGTATGTCCACGTGGTTACTTCATATCACTGACCTCAAGGCTCTCGGTCCTCCTAGGAGGCATTTAACATTAACTAGAGAAAATGCCATAGGACAGAACATCTAAAAATTTACATCCCAATTTACACCACTGGATGTAGGTTCCTAAAATTTCCTCATAATTCGTCAATAAATTTAACTGTAATAATATACATTACACATATTATGTATAAAAAGCCTACATATATAGAACATACTATGTAAGTTCATCGAAGTAATTTAGCTAAATATTAGAAACACAAAGAACCATAACAGCTATTATGGTTGACAAACTGAAAATCTCTCAATTTTGTTTTCAGAAAAAAGTGAAAAAAAAAAGATTGGTTAACAGACTCTCATTCTACAAATTTTTGTAAACTTCATTTCAACTCCATACATAACAAATCTCTTACTACATGTATGAAATGCTTGAAACTTAAAGAAAAGTTGAAAATCAATTACATGTAAAACTCTGCCAGATCCTTTCCGACGAACTTAGCAGATCGAATCCTCCCGATACTTGTATACATTTCAATGGTAGCATGGGACAAATCCTGTGGGAAAGTAAGAAGCTGCATCATTCCATACTTTAATGCCAGACAAATCCTACAATTGTTTACCTAATGCTGAAGCAAAAGACTTCACAATTAAACATTATTTTTTACTTTGCATCTATTTTTGTTTTTATGTAATATGTGATTTATAGTTATTAATACCTATAAAATATGAAGCTAATAATAAAAGAAATATGAACTCAGTAGGCATAAAAGTACTCTCCAAATGAAGGTAACATTTTTAGTATTTTTCTCACTTTTTGGATAATAACAGGGACAAACCACTACAGGCTGCTGTTAAATGCTGGCGTTAGCCATGGCTTGGCTGCGCAGCTGACCCACCCACCTTCTACCTACACTGCTTTCTGTGGTCTCTCCCATGTCAAGTCCTCTGAGATCAGGCATGACAGCTCTGGTTGAGTCCACATTAGTACTCTGTACACAGAAATCCACTCTTATCCTTTCCTTAGTTTCTATTCTATTGAAAGAGCAATACCATTTTGAACAAAACTGTAAATATCCAAAGATGCTTTTATGCCTAATTATGGCCCCATGGATACTAACAAACATTTGATGAACAACTGTGCCAGATTTCATCCACAAATGCCTAGGATACCAAAATGTCAAAGATCAATAAGGAGGAGGCCCAAATACAAGCTCATCTCCAATTCTAAAGGTCATGCAATAGCAGAGCCTTCTAGAGATGGGTTCTCTGCCACGGGTAAACGGGTAACATTAGTGGTACTTACTAAGTAGTGTTTTTCAAAAGCTTCTACTGATGATAATGCTTCTTTGAGTTTCTTATAAGGACTCTGAGCTGTGTTGGCTTAAAGAAAAAGAAATGAGTCCTTACTCATGTTCAGTACACCCTGTCATGAGTTTACATTCACCCTCCTATCCCACAGGGAGATGACTTACTCTGATGCTCGTGGAAATGCCAAATACAGCCATGCCAACTGAAACAACATTACTACTTACATTCCTGTCCCATAAATGCACTCATGAGACAGTCTAACCCTTCATGTTAACACTTTTACCTTTGACACTAGACTTCCAAAGTATGTATTACAAATGCTCCAATGAATTAAATTACTTTCAAAAGATCTGAGGTGGTCTCAAAGTTGCAACAGTGTGATACAGGTGCCCACTTTCCCTCACACAGGTGCCCCCACTTGGGAGTCCCCCAGTTGGCTGCTGTTCTTTACTTCAGCAACAGGCTTACTAAAGCACACTGTTGTCACCATGCTTGTGCCTGCCAGAGTGAGTATGCTCCTTTCAAAGTGCTTTATTCCCCAGGAGCAATTTATTGAGGATTTGTCTGGCTACAGTGTTAGAAAAATCAATCAACTGCAGTTCAGAGGGGTAGTGGTGCACTGAGACGTCACATGAGTTGTAAAATGTCATGATCAGCTTAGCCTGATAGCCTCACACACATTTTTAAGATGCCTTCCAATTTCCTAAAGTATTTCTAACACTTCTTTACATTATTAAAAGCTCAAATACTCTATTAATCTGGTCAGCTAATAATGACTATAATTTCCCAAACACTGAGTAATCATATTGTCAGAACTTGAGTTAAATGTGCCAAATTACAGCCAACACGTGATGGTGCCCCACTGTGCCATGTGTACAGGTACACCTGAGGAAGTACCTGTCTCGGGTCGCTCAGCTCCCAAGCCTGCCAAGAGATCAACTATCCTATTGAGATCTTCTGAGTTTGGTCCTTTTTCTGACACAAGTCCACACAGATAGCCCAAGGACTTTAGCTGTTGAGATAAAACCACAATTTCAATTAATCAGTCAAGAATTTGTAAATTTTAAATATAAAAATTAAAATCCAACTAAATTTTAGAAGAAATTTACCTTTTCCATCCAAATGATTCTAATCTAGATATAAAAATATACCTTACTGGAAAAAAAAACTATATATATATATACATCTTACTGGGATCATGCCAAATTCCTACCTTCTACACCATGATTCTCAGGGTAGCTCTGAGCTTGGTAATTCTCAGCTCACACCCTTCATCTTGCCACACTTTCCAAGCTCTGAGGTCTCTTGCCCAAGCTGCACACTCACAACCCCGGCCCCCAGGGTTGCACACAGCCTTCTACCATCAGTCACTTACACAGAAGCTCCCTGCATCTCTAATACCATTTCACGCTCCACCCGTGAAACAGAACCACGCCTGAGCACAAGCACCCCAAGAGCTTACTTGTCTCTGTTGAATAAAGTGATACTAGGAGAGAACCCGTTCCTGCATGGCTGCTGCTGGCCCATCCTGAAGGAACCAGAACCCCCATTACAGTGACTGTGTGAACAATGCTTCTCCAAACAGCTTCCTCCATCTGCCGCCCAGGGATCCAGCCCACGACAACACACACATCTGCACTGAGGTGCGAGTACCTTTTCTGTGGCATAGCTCCACAAACCCACAGTGTGGGCAACATTCGAGTCTATCTGTGCCCGGTCACAGCAGCCTTCCATCCTCTGCAGCACCTCCAGACAGCTCAGAAACACCCAGCAGTCCAGAGCGCCAGGCGGGGCGGAGACCTGGGAGGCACAATTGCAGGTGCATGAGGGGTGCTCAGAGTGCGCACCCAAACCCACACGTCCTAGTCTGCCCCTGAAGCGGCCACCCAATCTAATGCTGCTGTCACCTGCAAACTGGAGGAAAGAAAAGGGACAAAAACAGAAATACATCTGTTCACCCAGACACAGGAAGTGACCACATTTATCTGTCTGGTTTTGTATTCCTGACAATGATGAGAGACTCCACAGGGCGTGACTTTCAACAAGACTGTAACTTGAAATCAGAAATTGGCCACCTGCTTACGGATGACCACTGTCGCTGGCAAAGGTACCTGGAAGCTCAATGCACTATCCTGTCTACTTTTATAGGTATTAGAGACTTTCCATTAGAAAAATGATAAAGACTACTGTCAGAGGTGCAAAAGCATCTACTGTACACGGTCAATTCTAAGATGCCCTTTTCTTCACATTCAGCATCTCTGAAACAGGAATGTGTCTCGCAGCCAACGGCCTCTTCACACAGGGTACAGCGCTGTTTTCCTGGTGGTACCATAGCATACCTGTGTCGTACAGCATGGGTACCCCAGCTTCAGCGAGATGTGTGGGGTTCCAACGGGAACCTGAGTGGTAATTCTGCATCAGCTGGCGGGTGAAGAGCTGTGTAACAGGGACAACACTGACTCACATTAAGGCGCCTTCACACACACCCTCAGCACAGCAAAGAGCCCCTGGAGCCAACTGGGAAAAACCAGAAGTGTATGAAATGCTCCTGTAAACGGCAAATGCCTAGTCTGTGCAAATGAGGTAAACTACTTAGATCCTTTGAAAAGGAAACTCAGCACAGAAAAAAATTACTTTCATAAAGTGGCACAGCTTTCTCACGCAGGCATGGAGCACAGCTCCAGTGTGCACAGAGGAGCTGGTCAGCAGGCCGCAGCCTCAGGAAACCGGACAGAGCCGTCCCTCCCTCCCTCCCTCCCTCCCTGGTCAGACCAGGGCGCGGTCTGAGCGGGCCGACCTCACCTCAGGAGCCTCCCTGGTCCCACGGCGCCCAGCGACCTGCTTGCTACCACATCACAGACACAACGACCACGAGTACCAAATCTATGAAACTTCCTCTAAACACTTGTCTTTGCACAGGCACAGAGGTCATTTGCCAGGGAGAGAGAGGACACGTGCGAGCAGGGCTCTACACATTGCCTTAGGTAAGTCTCTGATTCAGATGAACCCAAGGAAAGGGAAAGAGAAAACTCAGGAGCCACAGCAGGGTGCTCTGGGGCAAAGCTGCCAGGGGCAGGTCAGCCCATCTTCAGGATCAGGGTGGTGCCCATTCTTCAAAACCAGCAGGGCCGGGGGCAAAAGCAGCAGAGACACAAAGAACAGTGGACTGCTGTGGCACATAACTGTGTGGAAATCTACAGAGACACACACCATGATGTGAAGGGTGGTATTACTTTGTGGAAGACTATGGAATAGATGTTTTCTTGGTATATCTGTTTGCTGCAAAGAGCAAGAACCACTTTGGTACACTTGAGAAATGCATAAGAAATAGCCACAGCAGCAGCTTTTCCACGGGAAACGAGGAAACCCAGTGGCAGCCCTGGCTGCTGCTGAAGCTCCGGCTTGTGACTGGATGTCAGAGCACAAGGGGGAGATGCATGTGAGGCAGTGGCGGGGCAGGGAAGAGAGACCAGCATGGGTGCCTCATGCAGCCTCATGACCCACGGGTGCCACATCTCCTGCGACAGCTGCACGGGTGCAGTGAAGGTGCCCAGAGCATAGGCTCACCATCAGGCGTCTGTCTCCCCCAGTCTAGAGACCATGTACCAATCAAAGGTGATCTGAGGATTTGGATTAAAGATGGCGGCGTGAGAGGACAGACTGAGGCTTCCTCCTAAAACTGGATACAATTAGAAAATTTAATTGGCACAACTAATCCTGAGAGAGCAGAAAGAGGATGCGTCAGACTGAACACACCTGGAGAAAAGAGCAGACCTCAGCGAACAGGGTAACGTACTGGAGTTGCGGCTCCGCGGGACATGAGCCCCTCCCCCACCCCAGCTCACCGGCGGGAGGAAGAGAAACGGAGCAGGGAGGGAGTGGAAGGCTTGGGACTGCTGAATATCTGTCTACGGAGACCTGCGCTGGGAGCATAAACCTACATTTCATGGTGCTTTCATGAGACTCTCATGACTACTGGGTTGGAAAGTTAATACAGGCAGAGTTCCTGGGGAGACTGGGATTCTGGCTGCTTGTGGAAAGCAGGGATCCATATCTGGCTGCTCTGGGACAAAAAATTTTACCTGTGTGCCCAGCCCACTGGCTCAGGCAGTGGAGACAGGCACAGGAGCCAGGAGGTGGGGAACAGATCTTTCCTACCCCAGGCAACAGTACCACTCCCCTGTGACCCACAACATTACTTCAGGGGCTCAGCAACTCCAGAATAGAGCTTCTGGACACTAGAGGGCGCCATATACAAACATGAAACGCCAAAAGAACCTTGTCCAGAGTAAAATTGTTAATACAACTCCCAAGAAAGATTTAAATGATATGGACCTCATGACTCTTCCTGAAAGGGAGTTCAAAATAAAAATAATCAACATCCTAATGGAGGTATGGAAAGACATCCAATAACTCAGGAATGAATTCAGGTCAGAGATCCAATCATTAAAGAACACAATGGAAAGTATTATAAACAGGTTGGATACGGTGGAGGAGACAATAAATGAAATAGAAACTAGAGAAGAGGAATACAAAGAAGCTGAGGCACAGAGAGAAAAAAGGATCTCTAAAAATGAAAGAATATTGAGAGAACTGTGTGACCAATCCAAGCAGAGCAATATTCGCATTATAGGGATACCAGAAGAAGAGAGAGAAAAAGGGATAGAAAGTGTCTTTGAGGAGGTAGTTGCTGAAAACTTCCCCAATCTGGGGAAGGACATAGCCTGTCAGGCCATGGAGATCCACAGATCCCCCTACACAAGGGGCCCAAGGAAGACAACAGCAAGACACATAGTAATTAAAATGGGAAAGACCAAGGATAAGGACAGACTGTTAAAAGCAGCCAAAGGCAGAAATTAAATCACATACAAAGGAAAGCCCATCAGACTAACAACAGACTTCTCAGCAGAAACCTTACAGGCCAGAAGGGAGTGGCATGATGTATTTAATGCCATGAAGCAGAAGGGCCTGGAACCAAGATTACTTTATCCGGCGAGATTATCATTTAAATTTGAAGGAGGGATTAAACAATTTCCAGGTAAGCAAAAGCTGAGAGAGTTTACCTCCCACAAACCATCTCTGCAGTCTATTTTGGAGGGACTGCTATAGATGGAAGTGTTCCGAGGGTTGGATAGCTGTCACCAGAGGTAGTAAAATCATGGAAAGGAGGGTCGAGCAGCTGATTGCAAG